TATTCTTCCTGGTGAAACAAGAGAAGACAAAACATTTGTACTTCTATTTTTATTATGCAAGTCCATGATAGGAAATAGCAGTATTACTGGATGAAACACAGCACAAGTAGATAATAGTACCAGAAAAATATGTGATCTTGGTCAGCAAGCAGTATCACTCATTCCATAGTAAAGAAACTTGTTTGGCTGTCTTATGCTTTGTGTGAAACTTTGATTCAAGGTATATTTTAATTGCATTTATTCTGTTTAGGGACCGTGATTATTTTGGTTTAGTTTCTTTATAATGCTAGTAGATTTTTTTAATTCTGAAGTGCAAGCAGTCTGTTTGGCCTTCTATTGTAGTGCAGTCCAAGGGAAGTTCTTTGATACAGGATGGAACTGAATTGAAAATTAAAACAGAAAGGGAGATACCAGATAGCTGCAAGTTCTTCAATGTATGCTTCTCCATTATGTTACACAGGGGAGAGCATTTGCTGTCTTGTCTTCATCCTCTTTTTTTCTTGTCCCATACTAAATTCTGGTGGTGTGTTCTCCAATTCTCAGCATTCTTCTTTATCTAATCCCTTATTGATGATTTACAGTTAGATAATTTTTTAAAAATTATTTCTATAGTTTTCCTGGCTTGTACAGTGAAATACTAGTTTTTTGATGCTTCAGGTAATTTGCAATAATTTTGTCCCTTGTGTACTAACCTCTCCTCATGCTGTTTTCATAACAGAATCTGCAAACAAACCTAAAGCTCTCAGTTCAGTAAAGATGCTGCCTTTAAATACCTTTTTCTTTCATCACTTTAAGATTGTTTTAAACTCTGAAATTACCCGTCACTCATGCTGTGTTCTTGTCTTGTCATACTCATCAGTCAGACTGGAACTAAATGGAAACTGGTTGGATTTTTTTGATCGGATGTGGGTAAAGTTAATTAAATACTAGTGTTTTCTATGCCCAGGTTACTCTTTGGGCTGGTAGAATGCTGACTGCAGTGTCAGAAATTTTTTTCAATCTGCCTGTCACTCATCGCTTATTGAAAGTGCTGAGAGAATCAGCAAGCAAATCTGTGAAATGTTCAGTGCAGAGGGAGGGCATGGTAAATTTTCTTTCATTTTTGGTCCCTCTCAACCCATCGCAGTTGCTGAACCAAATGAGTTTCTAAGGATGCTTGGTACTCCTCAAGGTGTAATTTCTCATAGAAAAATTCAGTTGCAGTAAGGGGGTTACTTCATTCCACACCATGTCCCCTGGATGAATAAACTTAAAAATGTGAACAACTGCCTTCCAGAGCAGCTCTTCTGTTAGGATATTGGAATTCAGGAGTTTCCATGTCTGCCATACCAACTAGTGGTGTCTTGTATATTTAGCCTGTATATTTAATGGTAGGAATAGTCTGTGTGGGAGTCATCACCTGCTCACCCAGGCTTGGACTGCTCATTTATGTAACTTCTCTGCAGTCTAGTGTACAAAAGGGGAAAATATCCTGGAATTCCCTTACAAAGTAGAAAAGAAATATTATCACAAGTTTTTTTCCTCCTGTTTAGAACAACTGGTTTAAATTTTGGGAGAAGGTGATTCAGGTGGTAGCAGCCCTAGAGGCTGCAGAGCTTGCCAACAGTCTAGGAAGGAGAGTGAGGGGAAATTCGGCAACTAAATATGTATTGGTTTAATTCTGTTAAGACTGCATTAAAAATAATGGGAATGGGCATACACAGGTGGTCCAGACCCACTTAGCAATGATGGTAAGAAAAGTCTGTTCTGTGCTTCTCTGTGATACAGAAAGACTGACAGGCTTTGCTTTGTTCCCATTTATGGGTAGGAGATCTAGTTAGAAATAAGAATAATTTCAAGAAATAAAAAGACATCAAAAAGTGCAAAGAGCCAATAATTGAGGGGAAGGTATTTTAAAATACTTTTAATTTGTGTGAGCTGCCCTTGCTTTACAGTTGTGTTCTAAACCAGAACTCTCCCATCTTAATTTATTTGCTTAAGTATCATCACAGAAAGAATTGATCAGCTATTGCAGGAGGAGGTATTCCTTGTCTTATGCTGCCTTCACACAGACCACCAAAAATGCACTTCCCATCCTTCTTCTCCGTCTTCCATGAGTGCCCAGTCAGCTGTTCTGTTCTGTCTTGACTACATATTGTTAGGAACCAAAATTTGCCTAAACAGTAATTCCTCTTTTCTTCTGGAGGAAAAAAAAAAAAAGTGCTGCAAGCCAAATTACTTTTTTCTATAACACTTTTCTTAAAAACTGCAGAGAGTACAAGTATCTCATAAAGAAGTTCCAGCTCTTGTCATATGATAATGTAGATGCCATCGGGGGACGGGGTTGCAAATTTGTTTAGAAACGCTTTTTTCCTCCCACCCCATCAATAATTTAAAAAATCTTACCTGGGTACTGAAGTAAAATTATGCCTAAGACTCCCTTCCAGTGTTTAGCATTTTCTGGTGTTTTTTAAACAATTTCAAGACCAAAGCATTTAATGCTATGCTGATGGTTAGCAAAATGGTTTTGAGATGAAGTATTGAAGAGACTGTTGATATCCTACAGCTGCTTGTCTCAGAAGTACATGCTAGAAATGTCACCTCACTGTTTACTTTTGGGGTACCTATTCAATAGATCAGAGTAATTCTCAGAATGAGAAAATTAAATTAAACCAGAGTGATGTGGGAAAGTAAGATGGAAGTTAGTGAGGTAGCAGTGATATTTTCCGTAGGTTTGAAAATAACCTCATGAGAGCTTTAAAAAAAATTATGCATGTAGTATTCTGTACTGTATTTTGCCACTCTTTAAAAGTATGCACGTTTTATCAGTAAAAGAAAGCATAAATCCAGCAAGCGTTGTGTAGATAATCCTTGCGGGTTTTATCACAGCCTGTCATTTTAAGTTTTTTTTATCATGATCCAGTGTAGTAAAAGTATTCTGGGCATTTAATAGTGAAGTTCTTGTAGATACTTTGAAATGTGGTATTCACACGTGTGCTGCCACCCCTTCTAGATGATGCTGCAGTAAGAGGCACTTCTAGAGCTTTTTCATTATTCCAGCTAGCTCTCTCTCAGACTGTAGTGGTAATTCTTTGCAGCTTAATTGCGCTTTCTGAAAAATACAAGGACTCATAAATTAAAAATGAGATTCAGAATCCTGAGTAATATAAATTTCTGAGAAGTTAACTCATTGAGAAATATTTTCATCCCACATTTCTTTTAAATGATGAAGCTGGTTTGTGTGTGGTAGGATTAATGTTTTTTCTGGGTCTATTCTCAGCATATTTATTTCTTAACTTTTGGTTTTCAAGTATAACTTTTCATGTCATGTTGAAATGCTAGAAGAAGCATTTGAGTTTTCACATCTGCTTGGAATCTTTTAGGTCTATTGAGTGCTGGACTTGAGGCAAGCTCAGTGGGAGGGGTTTCCTGACAGTCTTAAAGAATCCTTAGAGATCCAAAAACCTTGAGACATGGGAACATGTCTCTAGCTGGAAACACATGAACCAAGCCTGAATTAATCAGAAAAGCTGAATCACTGGATGAGTAATGATCCCTAACAATCAGATGACATAGCATCATGTGTGTTTACCACATTGGAGCTTGGAGGAAAGGAGTTATTGAGTACATGGATCTTTAGGTTTTTTGATTGGATGTACCCCTGTATTTGAGTTGCCAAAAAATCATGTGCTGTTGCAGCACATCAAAGGTGTTTGTTGTTTGTGCTTGAAAAAGAATGTGTAATTAATTAGTTATGGTAGTATTCTCTGGATTTAAAAATCTGTGCAAGGTAACCTGATATACTCCCAGTCAACATAAGGCTCCAAATACTTGTTTCTGCATTCTAGATTTCCAGTTTAAGTGTTCTTTCTTTCTTGCCACTTTTAATTAATCAAAACAGACTTTTGCTCCAGATGTAACATTAAATCCACTGAAAACCTGAAGCTCCAGTCCACCTCTGTATATTGAGTTGGTACTATGTAAGATGAATGGTAAAACATGTTGCACATTAATTTAGTACTGGAAAAATTAAAAACAAAATTTAAAATGTGATTTTTTTAAAACATATATCTGTAATGAGACACATTCTGTGCTTTCCTACATCCAGAGTTAGTGCTTACCTAGATAAAGGTGTTGATTATTTATATCAAATAAAACAGATAAAGCCAAAAAGACAAAATGTAACTAGCTTTGTGAAGTGTTGGCAAATAAATGTCGGTGCTGCTGAACGTCATTATGATGCAGTAAAAATCTGTGTCTGTCATAGAGGAACTTAAAAGTCCCCTGTAGTTACATCTGTCCCTCAAAGCGGAAGTAGGTCTGTAACTGTTTTCCAATAGCTAAAATAGCTTTAGAGCACCAGCTGAGCACTCTCAAACTTTTGCTGCTAGAACTGGAATGGAAAAAAAATCTTGAAAAAAGGTGGGGAGAAGGGTTCATGTCACAAATTCTCATGAGGTAGAAAGAAAGCTGAATGATGCAGAGTTTCGGGGTTTTTAGCTGTTTATGTCTGAATAGAAATTAGATAAATAAAGACAGTGTTTCAGTCGATTCAAGTTTGGGATTTTATTTTTATTTATTTACAACTACATCCAGTGCTCAGTTAATGCATTTGAAATTAAAGTAAACCTTCCTGATGGTCTCCCAGCAGTGACTTACACAGATGAAGGCAAACCACAGCTTATTTGCCAACATTTCTAACTAAAAACAAAAATATAAATGGAACTTGGAATTTTTTTGCTGTGAGAGAACAAAAATTTTAATGTAAAGGTTTTATTACACATGAAATATAAATATTCTTTGTAAGCAAACTTGGTAGCTCTTTATTCTGGTAAACAGTTTCGTTTTCCCCCTCCTTTATTACCACTCTGGGTTTTATTACATATAATAAGAATGTTTAAAAAGAATATGAACTGCATTTTGGTTTATATTTTTGTGTATTATTTACTAATCCTAGTGCATATCTGAAGAAATGTGGTGATAGGTTTGTGGTTTTTTGTTTTTTTTTTTTATCTTTTAAGGCTCCTGCTAAGAGAGATCCAACTCAAAGTACTGTCAAAGAAGACAAAGTCCATCTGTTGAAGTATAATATAGGAGATCTAGTATGGTCAAAAGTGTCTGGTTTCCCATGGTGGCCATGTATGGTTTCTGCTGATCCTGTTCTCCATTCCTACACTAAACTAAAAGGTACGTCAATGGTGCTACAATCAGATTTCTTCAGATATACATAACTATTATTTTGGAAAATTCTATTCTTCATTTTGTTCTTCATTTTACCCATTCAGTTGTATCAATAACAGAATCAGCTCCTTGTTGCCAAGAGGAATGTAATCATGTAAACACTATTTTTGAGCAGACAGAGTTTTTTTTTCCATTATGTCTTTTTAACTAAATGTTCTCTGAAAGATGTCAAACTGTGATCTATGAAATTGTGTGAAGCCTTATTAAAAAATTACCTGGTGATACTTTCCATTGTTTTTATGGAGAAGCTTGGAGAAGTGATGTGGGTTTAAAATTTTATTAAAAACTAATGGGAATTGAATACTCCTGATAATTATGCTTTATTAAAAGTAGTCTGTATTTCAGGAAGCTAAGTTTTCTTCATAGAATCTACACTGTTATATACAGACATTTGTTTATTCTAAAGGCAAGGACTAACAAGTGTTACTAAATTTTTAAGTAGGAATCTGTACATTTTCTTAATCTCATTTGCAGCTTTGTTCTCTGCTCTGATACCTAAAACTTTTGAGGCTTATCTGTGCTGGTTGTGGAATGATAAAATAATGCAGGTTGGGAAGGAACTTTACAAGTGATGCTGTCTCCAAGTTAGAGCAGGTTACTCAGGGTCTTGTCAGGTTAAATATTTAATGTCTTCAAGGGTGGAGACTTCACAGCCTTTCTGGTGACTGGCAGCTATTACAGCAAGAAGACTTTTCCCTTTATCTAGTTTTAATTTCCTTTGTTTCACCTTGTGTCCATTGCCTTTTATATTTATGTGAATCAGATTGATAGGGCACAATATGCCCTTGGTGAGTCTGTGCTGGCTACTCCCAAATACTTTCTTGTCCTTCATGTGCTTGAACATGTCTTCTAGGAAAATCTGCCCCATAATCTTGTTGGCATTGAGAGTGAACTGGTCAGCCTAGCTTGTAGTTCTCCAGATAATTTCTTTTGTTTCTTGAAGATAGGTTTTCTTTTTGCAGTCATTGGGTATCTCCCCTGATGGTTGTGACCTTGCCAGAATCCCCAGTAGGGATCACTCTTGCAATCACATTGGCCAAAACTTTCATCTCCCATTTGGTCCCATAATCTCATAGATGTCCACTGTTACTAAGTGCTCCTTGACTTTTTCTTAATACACTGTGGGTAGTGCCTCAGCTTTGCAGCCTGGATCACTAGAGTGAGTATTCCTTAGCCTTTCTTTTGCAACTGTTGTATTTACAGAAAATCTAGCTGCATGTTGCATTCCTCACTAGTTTTAACTCCAGCTGAGCACTGTGAACTATTTTTTACTATGTTTATGCTGAACTAATGAAAGTTTAGAAAACCTGAAAATGGAATCCAGAAAACTCAGTTGAAGGAGAAAAGCAAGAAGTTAATAAGTATATAAAATCAAAGTAGGAGCACATAACTTAGTTTTGATATTTCTGAAGTAAATGTGTGTTGGACTTTTAGGGCGGTAGGTGGTCAAGCTAGATAATGAGTGGAAGGCTGCATTTTCAAAGAAACAAATCTGAAGGTTTTAATAACCCACAGTAATTTTCTGTGGAGGAAGACCAAAGTCACACTGCTGTAAGTTAATAGTACTGCTTATAAAAAGCATGAAGTAGAACCTTTGTGTTTTCAGTGGTAGCATGGCAGCTGCAAGAGTATTTCTGTACACTGCATTCTGTTTGAGCCATCTCATTTCAAAAAAAATGGACCAAACTAAGAAGTTTTGAGGACAGCATGAAAAGAGACCTGCGAGTCTAATTGCACAGGCAGAGTGAAGGAACTGGGAGAACCCAGTAAATGGCCCTAGATGCAAAGAAGAAAAGTCATAAATTCTAGTTTTGGGAAGAAAAAGCTTAGTACTTATGCATATTTAGACTACATATTAAGAAGAACTTGGAATTGATAAAGATAGTGAAGCATTGGGGTGGATTTCCTGGAGAAATGGTGTGTTCGCATTCATAGGAGGTTTTTATGAGCAAATTGAACGAGGATCTCTCTAGGACTATAGCTAGGCTCAATGTTGGCAGTAAACTAAATGGCTTTTTGTGAAACCTTTAAAACATTACACAGTTGCTAGAATAGTTACTATAGACTCCTCAGAATTTTTCTTGTAGCAGTCTTTCATTGATCAGGCAGTCCCTGTGATTTTAGTCTTTGGTTTATTAGGTCTAATACGAAATAAAGAGATGGATTTTGAGAGTGATAAAGCTGTTTATTTGTTCCTAACTTCATTACACTGCTCCTTGAAAAGAGCAAGGTTTATACTTTGTTATAAAAAGCTGCCACAGGGATTCTTGATATGAAACTGTAGAAATAGATCTAGTAACAACCAATGTCGTATGTCTGAATGCAACCTGTGTAGTAGGAACAGAAAGAAGGGCCCATGTACTTGGAGATGTTCTATCACTTTGAAGTAATATGGATGATGGTCCTTTTAGATATTGCTGATATTTCTCTGGAGTTTTCTTGGGGCCTGCCTTGAGGAGGTTTGCCAAGGTCTAAGCAGCCATCATAACTGATAAATACACACTGATGGGCCTGTTTCCATCAATAGGTATCTCCAGTCCTGTCTTGTCTTCCACCTACCATTTACTGTTGAGGCACCTCAAAAGCCTCCTTTTCCAAACAGAAGAATTATTTTATCTGGGAATTGTAGCAATATTCAGCTAGGTCTCTGTATTTCTTGTTTCTAGGTTTAGGATCAACAGTGTTTATAAACAGTGTGAGTTTCTGGATGCTAATACATCATTTAATCATTCCAGCTGGTTAGGCTTGAGAAAAGTTTTAAACTTTCAGCTTGCAGAATGTACTTTTGCATGTAAAAAGGTCCCTACTAAGACAGACAGCAGTTCCATCTCCTTCAGTATCCTGTCCTTGACTGTGGTCAGCCACATAGGTTAGGATACAGAAGAATACTAGTAATAGTGGTGGGTCCGCAGAACACTCTACCAAACCTTCACTAGCTAGTGGTTCCAGGATTCTGAAAGCAAATTATGTCTTTGTAAATAAAACCCCTTAATTCCATTATTTTATCCAGGAGCATTGATACAAATTTAGCCCACAGAAGATACCTGAAGTTTCACTATTAGGTTCAATGCTTCTGGTCGTAGACACTCTTATTTAAACTCCTTGATCAGCCTGTTACAGCTGTCCAGCATTATATTGTAAAAGGAATAGAGTGTCTGTGGCTGCTTGGAACTAGACTATTGACTACTCAGGCAGATCTTTACAGGTGGTTGTAAAGGTAGTTTGGGCCATCTCTATCTGCAGCTAGGACATCCTGGTAAAATACAAAAATTGTCCTTTGTTTTATCATAGACAGATTAAGTAATCAAAGCTCAATAGTCTCTAGTTAAGCAACATTTTCTTGATGAGGACAAAATAATTCCTGTGCAAGGGAACTGCTCCTGACTGAGCATTACCGGAACATGTATTGGACTACTGGATTGAATGGGTATGTGTATACATTCCCAAGGCCATGACAGTTAAAACTTTTTCTATTTTTAAATGAGATTCTAATTTGAATACTTAGACCACAAATTTGTGGGTTTTAATGAAGGAGATGATAAAGGACATCCTAAGTCTGATTCTGTTACCTCTGCCTTTTAGAAGTTCATTGTTAACTGTGAACTCTGTGGTGAATTTTGAAGGTCTTATCTTCCCCCTTCACTGTAGAATCACTGAAATCTTTAGAAGAGGAAGGTTGTACACCTGTATCGTACTACAGTGAGACAGTATTCCTCTTTACAATCTTAAAAGAATGAATGTTTCATGTCTAAGTTTCAGAATTGTTCTTTGATCTTCCTGTTCTCCCTTCTCTCCACCACCCAAAACTTGTTAATTTCTTGCTTTGATTACTTCAAAGCTTAGTTAAGGTGAAGTTGTGATTGCAAATGTTTCTATGCAAGACTATTGAAGGATAAAGTTTAGGCTAGTCAGAAATGAAGCTGAGTGCATAGTCTGTCCAAGTTTTGGAAACTTTTTCAAGTTTAGCATTTTCAGAAACATCCAGGACTACGTGTAAGTTAATATACATGGAAAGTACTGACAGATTATTGTAACCTTAAGTTCATTTAGCAAAGCTAATTCTTGTTTGGAATTAAACTATTTGACTTTTGTGTCAAATGTAGAATCATAGAATGATTAGGGCTGGAAGGGACCCTAAAGATCACCAGGTTCCAAACTCCCTGCTAGAAGCAGGGACACCTACTAAACCAGGCTGCACAGAACCTCATCCAACCTGGCCTTAAACACTTCTAGGGAGGGGGCTTCCAACCAGCCTTCCTAGGCAACCCATTCCACACCTTGCTACCCTCATGGTGAGGAATTTCTTCCCGATGTCTAAACTAAATCTCCCCTCTTCCAGTTTTAATCCATTACCCCTTTTCCTATCACTGCCCTCTCTGGTGAAAATCCCCTCCCCACCTTTCCTGTAGGCCCTTCAGGTACTGGAAGGCCACTATGAGGTCTCCCTGGAGCCTTCTCTTCTCTAGGCTGAACAGCCCTAACTCTCTCAGCCTGCCATCACAGCAGAGGTGCTCCAGGCCTTTGATCATCTACATGACCAACCTCTGGGCCTTCTCCAACAGCTCCATGTCTTTCCTCTGCTGAGGGCACCAGAACTGTACACAATATTCCAGGTAGGGTCTCACCAGAGCAGAGTAGAGGGGCAGAATCACCTCCCTGCCCCTGCTGGCCACTCTTCTTTTGATGCAGCCCAGGACACAATTGGCTCTCTGGGCTCCAGCACATGCTGGTGGCTCATGTCAAGCTTCTCAACCACTTACCACCCCCTAAGTCCTTCTCCTCAGGACTGCTCTCCAGCCATTCTTCCCCCAGCCTGTATTTATGCCTGGGGTTGTGCCAACCCAGGTGCAGGACCCTGCACTTGGCCTTGTTGAGCTTCATGAAGCTGGCACTGGTCCACTTTTCAAGTCTGTCAAGTTCCCTCTGGGTGGCCTCCCTTCCCTCTGGGGTGTCAACTACTCCACACAGCTTTGTATCATCAACACACTTGCTGACACTCAATCCCACTGTCTGTGTGTCCAACAAAGGTGGGAGGTGCTTCGTTTTCCCAGTCCCTGCTTTCACCTGCTGTGGCCTTTGCAATGAGGCTGGAGCACTTGACAGAGAACACTGATGCAAAGAATCATAGAATGGTTAGGGTTGGAAGGGACTTCTAAGATCATCTACTTCCAACCCCGCTGCATAGGCAGTGACACCTTCCACTAGACCACGTTGCTCAAAGCACCATCCAACCTTGCCTTGAACACTTCAGAGAGGGGACAGATCAAAGAAGTCACTGAGAACTTCAGCCTTCTCAATATCCTGTGTAGGTAGGTCTCCCCTTTCCTTCAGGAGAGGGCTCAGAGGCTTTCAAGACAGTTAAGAGGGTTTTTGAAAGGTTAACCAGTTGTACTGTGCTTTTGTCATGGTAACTATAGCAGCTTACAGAAGACTTCAATTCTGAAGGTGCAGAGAGCAACCTAAATTGTATCTTAAATACATTTCTTTTTAATTTTCAGGACAGAAAAAGAGTTTTCGTCAATATCATGTTCAGTTTTTTGGAGATGCCCCAGAGCGAGCCTGGATATTTGAGAAGAGCCTTGTCCCCTTCAAAGAAAAAGACCAGTTTGAACAATTATGCCAGGACAGTGCAAAACAAGCGCTCACTAAAGCAGAGAAAATAAAGGTAAGAGGCTACCAAGTCAGGCAAGATTTGCAACTTTTTATTTTACTGTTACATGTGTACAGATATAAATAGATATCCTAGAAAGTTTTAAAGACAGCTTGTTTTACAGAGGCTTCTAGTCTTACGTTGCACTTACAGAGAATAGGTTCATTTACCACTATTAAAATCCGTACTTTTCTGCTTTGTCACTGATCCATGCGTGGTATCAGTACTATCAAACACAGTTCCATTTGGATGTCTGAATTATAATTATACACGGCACTTAGTCTCTTGGAATAGTTTTGTGTTAGTCTTGGCATTTTAAAATCAAAAGTGGTCAAATCTCTCACATTGTCTTGCAGATGTTAAAGCCTGTTTCAGGGAAACTGCGGCCACAGTGGGAGATGGGTGTTAAGCAAGCAAGTGAAGCAGTAGGCATGGCAGTGGAAGAAAGGAAGGCCAAGTACACCTTCATCTATGTTAGGGACAGACCTCATCTGAATCCTCGAGTGGCAAAGGAAGTTGGCGTTGCAGTGGAACCCTTAGAGGAGATAGATGAGACATCTTACGAAGAAACCGCTCAAAATCTGAAGTCGATGAAAGAGTCTGGCATTCCTAACAAGAGGAGGAGAAGGACATCAAAATTATTGGCCACTGATGATATGCAAGAAAGCAGTCAGTTGGAGACTCAGAATACTACTCCTCAAAAGTCGTCTGAACAGGCAGAATCCAAAAGAGGGATAGGCTCCCCTCTCAACAGAAAGAAAACTCCAACATCTACTCCACGAAGCAGAAAAGGCGATGCAGTTTCTCAGTTTTTGGTCTTTTGTCAGAAGCACAGAGATGAGGTTAGTCTCTCTTTAGTTGCTATTGTTGTTGATTGCCTCTTCTGATTTCTGTACTTAAAGAAACTTCTTTAGTTGACAAAAACTTGTTGCTACTGTAGAATCCATAATACCTGCACCAAATCTTAGTCTAGGCAGGAAGAGAGAAGGAAATGTGTATGAGCAATATAAACGAGCCAACAGTAATGCCATTGTACTTTAAGCATAAATTTTGTTAGTAGCTTCCTACAATCTAAGAGTACCATGCCATGATTTTTTTAAATTATTATAAAATATAGTAGATATGTAGTATAGTATAGTAGATATGTAGTAGTATATGCTCAGGCAAATATAACACAGGTTATGCTGTTTATGGCAATTTACTTGTAGTTACATTCTTCCTGAAGAGCTAACACAGTTCCTTCCATGTGTTCCCTTGTCTTTGAACTCCTAAAAAAAATCCATTTACTTACCTAGAATCTTTTGCTGAGCTTCAAAAGAAGCTAGTTACCACATCATGTGAAAATCACTTGTCAGTGTGCAATCTGCTGGGACAGAAGCTAGGTCCTCTTGAGGGGATTACACTCCAAGACAAGGTAGAATAAGTAAATACCTTAATATGAACATTTCTTAGGAAGACTGAAGTATAAAAGCAGTATTGGTGTTCTGGCTTATTACTTTAAAAACACGACCTTCATTTTTCTTCCCTATGACGCTCTGCTCCATCTGCTGTACAATTCCATTCACTGAAAGAAGCATGAGTTTTCATATTTTCTGATAATTGTACTACTCCATAATACCCACAGAAGGACCAGAAAGTTAGTGTTGACTTTGTCATACTCTTTGGCTACTGAATGATCGACTTTGTTATAGGATATTTGTGTAGAAAACATTAATAGGCACAAACTTTATAAAGAAAAGCTGAAAAACTGATCCTGTTGTATGGAAGTCAATTAATTGTGGTGCAATTTAGGATCATGAGGTCATTGCAACTTAAGCTACTGTTGCTCAAAATGAGCACAGTGTTACATACACCTTTTATTGGGTTTGGTTAAATTGAGGGAAGCATTGCAGTTCAGTTTGCTGGCTTGGGAAGAGTTTTGTAGCCAGACTATTAAACAGAAATGTTGACGCATTCTTTAGGAAAAACTGTATGGGTAAATCATCTCTTTCATATTTGAGAAACCTGAGTGCTATCTCCAGTCCTTCTGTAAGTAACCTTGTGTCTTGTACCAGTGGCAAGGGGAATCTCCTTTCCCTTTAACATAGGTAGCCAGAAGAACTAGAGTACAAAAGCTGCAGACAGCAGGTAGCTGCAGATAACTGTAAAAACAGTTGTCCCTCTATATGATCAGGACAGTAGAACCTGTCTTTCCTTTCTTGGTTCAAAGTTCTCTGGCAAAGTAGGGAAATACCATTTTAGATATTCACACTTACTGCACAGAACCTGAGTTACCTGAGCTTAGTTAACACTTCCAGCCTTTCGTGTTGCTTTTTAAATGGCAGTTTTCTGCCCTCGGTGAAAGGTGGAGATTGTATCCAAACTGGTATTTGGAGTTTCCACTTCGGGTAGGCGTATCTGCTTCTACTCCCATGATTTGCTTTCCATCCAAGAGTTTGTCTTGTTGTTGTTGTTGTAGCTATTATGATGCTTTAGAAAGAGTGATAACGTTGCTAAAAAAGACTTGGTTTTGAGCTACTTGTATTAGTGGCATCTGAGAGTTTAGCATATGGCTACTTTAGTATTTGCATGTAGAAACTTAGAATAAAGGAAAACTGGATCCAGAAGAGGCTCTCCGGCCCCTAGACTTGGGAAGGCATGGAAGTGAATGGAAAGGAATGATTCAAGACTTACCCTCTGGGGCCTGCAATAATCACAAGTTCTCTTAAAAGTAGGGCTGTTTCTGTTGCGTCTTGCCTGGAGTCCACCTTTACACAGTAGTAGGATTCATATAGCAGTTTGCTTTATGAATTACTACTTTTCGTGTTACTTTTTCTGGGGATAGGAGAGTGAGGAACAATTGAAATTTTTCGAAATCAGTAATGGCTGCTGGAAGACTGCACTGCTGGAAAATTGTTTTAGTGATTTAAGAGGCATGCTTCCCTGAGGGAGGCATTGAAAGCTTGGAGCACTTTCATGGTTGTAGTGATACATGAAGTGTTTTATGCTGTTACCAATGGAGTAAAAATATATTTTGTACTATTGGCATTCTTACATGCTTCCTCTGTGAAATATTGTTTGGATGCCCTAGGATGTACCTGGTTTAATTATTGAGTTTTCCACACCTATAGTGATACTAATCACCAGATCCAAGAAAAGACCTTCCTTGTATTCTGTAGCATAGTTATTATAAGTACCTGCGAGAAGTACGTGATTTTCATGTACAACAAGATACCAGATACATTATTTCTGGTATATGTGCCAGGATTGTGTCTTCATATGAAGACTTTGGAGAAGATTGCTGGGCTTTTTCCTTGGAGGCCACCTTTGCAAGAATCCCATAACCATTAAGAATCATGAGTGTCTTTTTCTTGTCATTTTGCAGAACTCCTAGTCAATTGAAAGTTGTTTCTATTTGTTCTTTTTGGTGGGACCAGAGGTGGTGTTAAACTGTCATCTCATTTGTGTGGACATAATATTGTCTTATAGAATTGAATAACTTTGTGCCCTAGTTGAGCACAATAAACTGTACACTTAGTAGCAATAGTCGAAATTTATGCTAATTTCTTTTCCTTAAGAAGTGAGATTTATGGGAGGGGTATCTTGTGGGTCTATCTACATTCTCCTCTCTCAATAACTTTTGACATTATTGGTTTTTAATCAAATTTTTAATAGAGTCTTCTGAAGGTAGTTGTAGCCTCTGAGCTCTACACAGATGAGTTATACCAAATGAAAGCAAGAGAACTCTCAGTGTTCTACTAGGAGAAAAGTTACAGTATGAATTTCCCTAACTGGCACTGAATAATCCCAGTGGAAGGAAGGTACTGCAACTATTTTAGAGAAGCTGGAGAAGCTGCAGTCATACTTGCATCTTGCTTGACACCAGGAAATACAATTTTAAAACACTTAATCATTTCCACTTATCACCAAAAAAAAAAAAGTATTTCTGTTCTGTTGAATGTGTTATGTTTGGATGCTTGGCTTTGTTGGTCTAGTTTTTATTTTGCTCCATGATTTTGCGTTGTTGCTTGGATCATTCCAGTAATAGGATTTTAGAGCATGCTGAGGAATGAGAGGAGAGGGATTGGTTTAAAAGCTATGGTTTCATTTCTGTAGATCATACAGTCCTGGAGCTTTCTGACTTCTCTGATTAATCAAATCTGGTTTTACTTAAGTAGAAGTATAGGAATACTGAAGGACTTCAAGAGGATTGTTTTGTTTTTCATATTGGTCTTTCATTTGGTGTTGAACTTCTAGAAACTGTTAAATTCTATGCTGATGGCTGTTATGTGTCATGCTCATATTATTAAGAAAAGATGCACAGCTTTTTGTGTTCCTAATATTCATAGACATAGTATTAAATTATGAATTAATACAAGAAAATGTTGGATCGGGTGTTAGCTTGTAAGTCTCTCTGCTAAGATAGGTGTGATGAGTTTTATCTTTAATGAGTTCTGTGAATTGATGGATGTCTTTGTAGGCAGGTATATATTCCAGTATTGCTTGTCTGTCTTTTGTGATATAGATTTAAACTTCATCAAGACATACAAATTTTTTTTTAACAATCAAAGACAGGATTTGCTCTTACGCCACTTTTTTGAACATGAAAAGGCAAATGAGATACTTCCAAAACTATTCTTAATACTTCTGAATATGCTAACAGATGGGTTGTTGTTTTTTTTTTAGAGAGACAGAGAGAGAGAGAAGTGATTAGTCAAAGAAAAACTGGATACAGAAGGTTTTAATCTGTAATCTTTTTTCTGTCTGTAGCAGAAATATTAGATAACTTGTTTGTATCCAGTTTTCCAAAGCAATAGAAGTATGTACACCATTCTTTTCAGTGGTCACCTTTTTTTAATACAACCCTATTTCTGCATGTGTAGGTGGTTGCTGAACATCCAGATGCTTCGAGTGAGGAGATTGAAGAATTACTCGAATCGCAGTGGAATATGCTTAGTGAAAAACAGAAAGCTCGCTATAACACAAAGTTTGCCATAGTGACCTCTCCCAAATCTGAAGAAGACTCTGGTAAACGTAAAACTGTGCTAGTGTACTCTAACTAAATTTGATATACATAGTGGTGTTAAACTAAGCACATATTT